GTCACACGTCCAAAAGGCCGTCCAAGAAGTCCTGGTCGCAAACAATCGAACAAGACATGAAAGCTCTAAATTTATACGAAATGGATAAAACTGATCGCCTAATTTGGCGCAAAAAATAGATGGCAAAGAAAACAACGTCCTACCTTGGGAGAACTGGGTCTCTGGACGCTAAACGAAGATTGATTGATTGAAATGTTATAAGAATATTTTTATTAAGTTAAGTAGATTATTTGAATTTTTTTTTCAACTATCAATTTAATAGATATAGATTTAATGGTAAACGTACTATCTATTGGGATCTATTGAAATCATGATTGGGTTTGAAACAAAATAATTCTTATAATTTAATTGTTGATAATAAATTAATTAATGATGACTCAACCTTATGCAATGTTTTTAATGATCATTTTCTAGCTTTGTTAATTTCAATCATTCTTCTGGTTCTGACACTGCATGTTTTAATTATAAAAAATATCTTTCTGTTGATGTTGTAAACTCTTTTGCTCTTTTTGACTGCTCTGAATTTGAAATTTTAGATGTCAATAATAATTTTAAAAATTCACAAAGTTGTGGCGATGATTGTTTTTCCTATTTTTTGTTGAAGAAAACTGCTAATAATATTATACCATTACAATACTTGATAAATTAATCATTTAACAATGACTGTTTTCCCAAATGCTTGAAAGTTTCAAAAGTAATAACTCTATTTAAAAATGGTGATAGACGTCTTAGAAGATAGAATGGTTAGCAACTATCGTCCTATTTTTATTAAATCTAGTTTGTTAAAAGTTATTGAAAAAATTGTTCACAATAGACTAACAAAGTTTCTAAATTCTTATAATGTATTTTGTTATAATCAATATGGTTTTCGTTCAAAATTATGTACTGAATTTGCAATAAGTGATGTAATTAATTTTATTTCTCTTGTTTTAGAGTCTAAAAAATTTTGCATTAGTGTTTTTATTGATCTCTGTAAAGCCTTTGATTCATTAGATCACAATATTCTATTATACAAATTGTATTTTATGGTATAAGAGGTAAGGCTTTAACTTGGTTTGAATCTTATTTCAAAGATCGTTATCAGTATGTCTGCATTAATAACTCTATTTATCAACTGTCTCCTATTGCTTCTGGTGTTCCGCAAGTTTCAATCCTAGGTCCACTGTTGTTGACTTAGGATTGAATTTTTATCGATGTACTGAAAGTTATACTTTTTGCATATGAAACTACTCTTCTCTATTCTCATTCTAAATTTGATTTATTGGTTTCTACTATTAACGAAGAATTATTTCTTGTATATGATTGGGCAGCCTCTAATAACTAAAGGATTAATATTGACAAAACATTATTTACATTTTTTGGCCCAATCATCATTTGTCCTCTTATTTTATTGTTAAATAATAGAAGTGTTAGAAGAGTAAATGCTATTAAGTTTTTGGGAGTTTTATTTTTGGAAATTAAAATTGGTTAGATCATATTAAGGGGAAAATATCTAAAATTTAGGATTAATATATCGTTTGAAACATAGATTTCCTAGATTCATATTGATGACTTTATATAACTCTTTAATATCTTATCTAACCTATATCTAATATATTATTTAATGCCTTATCTAACTTAATGTATTGCTATCTGGGGATGCAGTTCTAACACTAATCTAAATTTGTTAAGTTTGAATCAAAATTTTTTCTTACGATTATTATTTGATTTGAACAAATTTGGGCATATAACTTCGTATTATAATATAGTTGGTATTTTAAATATAAAATATAAAACAGTTGCATATTATTTATTCATTAACACTTTCTTTAATTTTTAAATTAAATTATTGTTACTCCTTCTATAATCAAGTCATTGTATTGAATAACCATAGTACTAGACGTTTAAGACATAACTATGCTTTATATTTATTTAAGCCGAGATCAAATTTTTTATTAGTTCTGTTCGTCCTTTTTCAATGCATTTATGGGACTCGTTACCGGTTCATGTTAAAAGTGTACCCTCGCTAGGGTCATTTAAGGCTAACATTTATCTGTTAATGTTCTAATTATTTTCTTTAATTGTGCTGTTATGTATTATATATTATTATATATTTTATTATTTATGTCATGAGCTTGCATCATCATTAATTTGTCATATTGCTTTCTTTTGTTTCTGTTTTAAGAGATAATTAATAATCTATCATTTTCACTAATTAGTTAAGGTGGTTTGCACAAACAATAGTACCGTGATCTCCTGTGCTTTTTTGCCAAATAAATTATAAATTATTAATGAATTGAATATATATATATATATATATATATATATATATATATATATATATGTGTGTGTGTGTGTGTGTGTGTGTGTGTGTGTGTGTGTGTGTGTGTGTGA